GAAACAACTGTTTATGGACAGAAACTTCTGGCTGTTTTGGCAGTTAAAGAATGGATGAAGCACCTATTTATAACAGCTATAGGCCAAGGCCTGACATTACCCTCTGTCCGGCCACGGAATGATTTTGCGTTAGATATTTACATATAATCATAATTATCCTTCTGATTTTATATTTATTTCTGGGCTGCAATTTTTTTTTCGTAGAAATGACGTCAGCACTGCTCTAACCTAAGGTAGAGACACAATTTGAATAATTTTATAATAAATATACATATTTTACAGTCCCATTTTACATTTAAGGCAAATATATGTACACGTATACCAGCACTGTTCTGTAAAGTATTGGTACACGTGTGTGTGCCTTTAATGTTAAATGGTAAAAGGAACAGTCACGCAAACGCCGTGCACGTGATGAACGTCTTGGCATTAAAAAGGGCAGGCGACAGATATAACTGACTAAAAGCATTGCCCTTCTTGGCTAGGACTTCGTTTTTGCATTTTGCTTTTTTTTTTCGTTGCATATCTGCGTGGCTTGAAAGTGTGCGGATTTCGTCTGGAATACGACAGCCATTTCCGTTGAGTTCGATGTGAGTAAATTGGCTGAAGCCAATATTGTGCACGAGATGGTAGGTATTCACTGTAAAGGGCAGAGATCTGTTTATTCCTGTTAATAACGTGATCTTCCTTTTATTTTCACACAGTATTTTTCTCCAGCTCATTAGTATATGTTTCAACTTTCATAGTAATTTAATCCATTTTCTCCTTATCATTGCTAGACCCATGCCTGCAATAACTACATGCAGTAGAGTGATGTTTTCAACCATTTCTATTTAAATAATTTAGTTCTATATGAATGGACAATTGTTATGCTGTATTACTTCAATATAGTCAAAAACCAAATAAAAAGAGCTCTCTCTGTCTCTCGCTATCTACATGTATCTTTCTTTCTCTCTCTCTCTCTCAAACAAATAAATGGATGCATCGCTGATGAATACATATTCCTTTCTTTTTATTTAGATACGGGCACCCTGAGTATGAAGCAGAGTATAACAACAAGTATATTATGTTGTGGATCAGCTCCCTCTAACTGCATAAGCACACACTGTACCAGTACAGCGAAACTTGAAAGAAAGACTAATGAATGACTTAGAAACGGCTGCGAAAATGACACACAGATTTGAACGGGAGTAGGCAATTTAGATTCCCCGCCCACGTGGTCCACGTGGTACAATAGGCGGGAAATTGGTGACAACTTATCAACCGGTTACAAGAACATCTTATCGATTGGACAACAAAGCGTATTGGGGAGCATGGAAAAGACAGCTTGTCATCTTCACAATGGCGCAGCTGGATTCTTTCTGTCAGTGCTGTCGGCTATCACACTGTCAGTGTCAGCACTTCTTGTCGGTAGTTTTCAAGAAATCTCTGTCCTCGTGCTTTTGGCCTTCCAGCACGTCGTCATTTTCGTTTTCGCTGTCCCCGCCTGGCTTTGCATTGCTAGGCAACAAGATTTTGAGCGCGAATATCCCGAGCAATGGAATGGGAGCGATAGCACGGGAAAGGATGCCGTGGTCGACAGTAATGCTTCAAAGTTGTTCTACTTCGAAGAAAATCATCAGGAGACTAGGAATTCCCAGAGAAATGACTCCGAGGGGAGTAACTCCGATATTTTGACTTTCATGTCTGAGGGAGAAAAAGCCAATATGAAGAATTCTCAGGAAGTGAAATCCAAGAAAAAGCAGCAGGATGACAAGCAGAATCATCATGGACATATAAAGAAAGGAGAAAGAAGATTACAGAGAGAAATATCTCAAATGGGTGTTACGAATGGCATATCCGAGAGAAAATATGAAACGACCATAGCGCATTTTGAGAATGAAAAGTCTATGAAAGAGGTTGCAAAAAAGCTGAATGGATCTAAGGTGGAAAACAATCATAGAAAAAAATTGAACTCAGACACTGAATCTCAGAAACAGACTTCCTTGAATGATAAGGAAATTATTCCCAAGACGGGCTTGAAATCGATTAAAGACTGCGTCTTCGTTGTTATTCGGGGCAGCATGGCGTATTTAACGTGGTGGTGTGCGCTCAGTGCTTTTAGATACCTTCCAATAGGAGATGCCTCTGTTCTGGAGTACACCAACCCTATATATTCGGTCATTCTGGCCCGTGTTATACTGAAGGAACCGTGTGGCGTTGTGGAGGCTTTCTCTACATTGGTCATGTTAACAGGTGAGTCTGAGAGAGAAATCAAATTCAATTATTTTGACCCAATAATTCTCCTTAACCAATTTGGCCCTATAAGTGTCAAAGTTTCGAACTGGGTCATTCCACATAAAAATGTAACCCACACATTTTGTGTGACATCAACATGATTTTTACTTGCCCCATTGTATATGATTACTCTTGTTGTTTTATATTTCAATACCCTAATTAAAAACGTGATATAAAACATTTATGCAATTCTGTTACATACTTGTTGCTTAGATCTAATTTTGAAAAATGTTTCCAATAAATTTTGTCGAAATTGTATTCTTCTTCTTCTTCTTCTTATTATTATTATTATTATTGTTTTCTTCAGTATATTTTTCACATTAAATGTTTGAAATGAAATTTTTCATCTTTTTTCTTCTATAGGTATAATCCTAATATCCAGACCCAGCTTTCTTTGGGGAGACTCAGCCGCACTTAACCCGATAGGTGTCACTCTGGCCATAGCGACCGCTGTGACGTCATCAATTAACATGCTTTTTGGTAGAAAACTGAAGCATGTGCATAGTCTAGTTGTCGTAGCATCAATAGGTCTCTTTAGTGGCATTATTTCATGGATAGTTGTATTATCCACAGAGGGCGTTTCATTTCCGGTCACGTGGTTGGAGTGGTGTGCGGTCGTGTTGAGTGGTGTCATGGTATTTACCGGGGGGAATTAGTTCCCAGATGGCGCTGCAGTTTGAGAACGTCGCCATCGTGAGTATAGTGCGTACTTCTGAACCAATCTTCGTGTTCACATGGCAAGTGACTATTCTTCATGTCATCCCAAAATGGACGTCAGTTGTGGGATCTCTTCTGATTTTGGCGTGTGTCATCGCTCTTGGTATAAGGAAATGTTCGGGTGACCAGGGAAATACTAATTTTGACGGCAACCAGGATGCTCTGTCGGGCAATGGAGTTTCTACGCCCTCTGAGAAACATAAAGTTGTACTGAACAGTAAAAGGATTAAGCTTAACTTTCAGCCATCAAACTATTTCAAAGATTTCATTTTGTCTTACCCGCAACCAAATGTGAACACAGCACAAAAAAAAAAAAGAATCAGAGAAGATAATTCGACACTAATTAACACAAAATGCTATTATGATAAACAGTGACATTAAATATTTTAAAAAATAAAGTCTTATATTCAGAAGTCTGTTATATATCTTCTCAAAAGGTGGAATAGGCCTATGTTGTATCGTTACATTTAGCGGGTCAAGAGGTTGGGGGAGTGGGGGGGGGGGCAAGTGCCCCCACCAGCTTCGAGTTTTGAAAAGAGTATGCCTAGATGACTGTGGAAAAATCTTTGAATTTTAAATAATTTGAATTGTATTTTATTCAATTTTTGTACGCCCTGTAATAGCATGTACTAAGCCATTCTTGCTTGTAAATATGATCCTTTGGAGACGTCATAATCCGAGTTGGTATCAGCGCAACTGCCGCATTACGGCAGCGTTTAAAAACTAGTCCAAAGCTGCGTTCACAAAATGCAATTTTGACTGAATGTAGCAAAAATGCACTATCAAACGCCCAGACTGAATGAAAGCTTTATAGAAAGAAAGCGTGCACAATTTACACCCTGATTATACGAGCGTGTACCAGTCTCAGCGGTTCGATGACCGTCTTTTGCGATGACAGTGTCGGTGTACACGAGATTTTGGTCTACCCTGTTACTAATACATGTGCAGGTTATGGTAATGAAATAAACAAGTGGATCCATTGCGAACAGAGTACTGGTATGAACAACGCAATTGCATATCGCGTATATTTACATTTACATATCATATACCATTCAATATTTGAGGACCCTGCATCCGCTCATTAACAGATTTATAAGCAGAGGTGAGCCCCAGTTTGGACGATTAATCAGCAACACTTTTCCGTATGGCCAAAATTTTTTCTCTTGCAAGCTTGTTCTTGTATTTATTTATTTATTTATTTATTTATTTATTTATTTATTTATTTATTTATTCTAGATGTCCGTGACCAAAAGGTGTTTTCCAGATCCAAAAAATAAAAACTATAAAATATAATAGCTGCACGCTGTTAAAGAGGGTACCTGAATACCAATAAATCTCACTATTCATCACTCTGGTCTGTCTAGCTACATGACTCTGTAGGAAACCACTGTGCTAGACTCACAGAGCGTACTTTATCTTAGTCTATCCATACTTGATTACTGGGGCGCTTTTTGGTGCCCGGTAACCTGTATTAGCGTGAGTTACTGAGCTGTTGCGGGCTAGCTTTGTATTTCCAAATCCCCATCTTTTCCGATTACAGTGTACATTTGGAGTTGTATTCGGATATGTGTTAGGCCTGGAATTCATCTGCCCACACAATCGACCAAACTTTAATTTTAACTCATGGAAAAAGACAAGACTCCTGTATTTATTTTGGCCTATGTTTCATAAATGGTACAATAACAGTCTAGTTCTTATAACTTTTTAAAACGTTTTTTTTTCTTTTGATTATTAAAATAATTACTGCGTTCGATATCATGCACATTTCATGCACGGTACATGATTTTTGTAATGGTGGCTAACGCCACCCCGTAGATAAAATCATTTTTTATTTTTGATATATGTATGAACCAAACGAATATTAGCCAACTGCACTTGCATTTATATATGCATTATTATGACAGCAACTATGCCGGCCCGGACTCTGTATGACCATCACAATCAATATCCAGAGTGGCATACAGCATTGTTTATACATTTTTCAAAAGTAGGCCAAACTCGCTATCCAGGTAATGCGCGTAACTAAATCCTCCAGGCCTCACCGCTGTACGCTCTGTAGAACAGAAGAGTGCTCAGTTGGTTCCTTATATCTTAATACAGGCGCCTACGAACTTCCAGCATATTAGATACCATAGTGAGAAGAAGTCTAGTGCAGTTATCTGTAACGTCTTACGCCTTACGTCTTACGTACGTCGCTCTGTGACATCACAACCATGCCGGCTGGAGACGTCGAGCTCGTGACGGTAACTCGCCACAGCACAAACTCCCCTTGGGGGTTCAATCTAGGGGGTGGCCGGGATCACGACACCCCAATGTTTATCTTGAAGGTGAGTTGGCCCTCAGTAAGACTTGTTGCAAAGCGGTTATTCATAGCAAGTATATTTGTAGATTTTCGGGGCATTTTTTTCATGATTTTTGGAAGGGGTTGGGTAAGACCCAGGAAAGCGATATTGGAGGGGAGGGGGATAAACACTGCACCTAATTACCCTTATATTACTGGAGGGGGTCTTTCTTGATGTATCGAAATGGACTCTCTGAGACTGATGAGGGGGTGCTCTTTTAATAGAAGTCGTGCATTAAGATGTTGACTCTGCTGAACGGTGAAGGTTTAAGTTGGAAGCATTAACCTTTGCTGAAAGCTTGTCAAGGATTGATTTATATGGAGTGCGGCTGGCTACAGAATTCAGATGCCCATGTGAAGTGACGAAAGGGGAAAACAAGGTGGTTTCTGAGAGAGAGAGAGAGAGAGAGAGAGAGAGAGAGAGAGAGAGAGAGATTTCCTTCCCCCAAATTTTCTCTAACTCTTTCATAGTCCATCTTAAAAACATTAGTGTTAGTCAGGAACATAAGCTCGACAAGCCTTTCTTCTTATGAAACAGGTGTTTTTTATTTTATTTTGACAACTACCATAGCTTTTTCCTGGGTGAAAGTAGTCTAAAATGTTGGGTCTAAAAGATTAGACCGTTTTTTTGGGCTTAAGTCTTTTCTGGAAGAGGCTACAGTCGGTAGGCTATGTCAAACTTTAACCGAGACTACACCCATACTTTATTAAGAACCTTCCTACACGGCTGAATATGATTAGCATTCATCTCATCTCTACCTGTTTATATAGTGAAAACCATACAGGACTGACTTAATGCCCATTTAAACTGTTCTTTGTACGTGCAGCCATGCAATGTAAATATATGAGTGTAAACAAGGTCAAAAGAAAACAACAGTAACTATAGCTAGTAATATATATAACACCAAAATTTTGTTGATTCATTAGCGCTCGAACCTTACAGTTAGCCAGTGCTATCACTATACCGACTATACCGTGAATTAGGATATTTTTAGAGTAAGTGTTGAAATATATATGATGATTGCAAGTTGCGAAAATATATTGCGTTATAGCCTCATTTTTACTACTCAAAGTCTTCCCCCTTCATTTGTGCAGAAAAGTACTACATGTACCCAGGTCTGTTATTTATACCAATATGCATATCTGCTATCGAAATCCATGTATATGTCATTGGTATTCATGACGACAGTTACATCGCTAAGCGGTTTGACCTCACGCTCAGAGGTCAACGGCGCGAGTCCTTACACCCATTACAGGTAAGCTATATGACATCAGGTTGATATTATAAACCCTACAGACAAACGAATAATATATTAACCTAAGGCTGATCCACACATAATATTTGTCAAGGCGCCGTAGGCTACTGTGTAAGGCATTCATGGGCTTTGGGTCGTATTTCACATGATATGTTTTGTTCGAAAAGTATAGTTCTCTGTCGAATGAATAAACTAGAATTGCGTTAGTCTAAAAATACGCACTGGCACATTCCAATGTTATTTCTCATTCTGATCCACCCCTACCCCCCCCCCCCCCAAAAAAAAATGAAGTTAATGACACAATAGTGTGAAAAAACACTCACACCCCGTTTGCATCAGCCATCATAAAAAAAAAAAAAAAAAAAAAAAAAAAAACCAACTATAGCGCCTTTGCACATACATATGGTTGGGCTTATTACATATATGTTTCAGCTCTTCTCTGAAAATTAAAATAATAATAATAATAATAATAATAATAATAATGACCCCCCCCCCCTGCACATACACACACACACACACACAGACACACACTCGTAAAAAAGGTACATTTTGTGTTTTTCTCCACCTTCAGTGTGAGAGTTATTCGGGAAAAGACTCAGGGTGTTGAAAAGAGGTTGAGCCCTCAAACTCAGGGCGATATTTCAGCTTCTCGGTACGAAATATGTATGTCTGACAGGAATGTCACGCCTGGCTTGAACGGGTTATGAAAACAAAACTGCTTGTCTCTGTAACCTTGCATGACTCAAAATATTTTTACCCGTAAAGTCTAAAAAGCTTTTAATCGGGAAATAAAATAAATGGAAAACAGAGGTTTCATTTCATTTCATTTTATTTATTTATTTTATTTATTATTTTGGTTATTTATTTATTTATTTGTTTATTTATTTATTTATTTGTGAAATATCACCAGAGGAATAACGAGAGAAATTCACTAGCCCAGCACCTGAAAACTCCTCGTTGTCTGCGGGAGTAGAGTGCAGGTGGCTCATGTGTGACGTCATTTCCATCTTCCAGAGGTATCACTTACACGTTGCCATTTACGGATACTCTCTTAGTGTTTTGGTACAGGGTGTGCGGAAGTATCATTTATCTAATGAAAATAAAGGATTCCAGGTGCGATAACACTGGACACTGCTTGTGTGTTGAGCACATCATGTGTAGCTCAACTAACACACTAGGTTGAAACATTTTCTAATATTCCGTCTTCGAGAGCTGTCCTTGTTGTCTGGAAGTTTTCGTTGACTTTACATAGAAGAAGGGCAGATTTTTTTTATTGTCTTCAAGTATCAACTATGGCTTCACCAGCCCCCCACGTGGACCATTTTATTTATTTATTTATTTAAAAGCATAAGCAATGGTTTTCTTGTTATTAAAACAGGTACAGTATGGTTTTTATTGGACTATTACTGATTTATATTGGGTCACAGTGGACTTTAAACTTTTGGTGTCACAGTTGAGATGAACTTACTGGTTAAGGTTCATTTTTGAAACTTGTCTCCCCTGCCCCTTACGGAAATTTTCTATATGGTCGTCCTGTAAGAAATTGGCCCTGTTGGACATATGGACATCTGGTAGAATTCTTATAGGATTCCAATAGAGTCCAATAGTACGTCCTACAGGACACTATCGGAAGGAACATCTACTTGTGACTTACACTTATAGGACCGCTGTGGTTACATGTATGTCTACCTTTTCCTCCCCAGTGTTTCCCGGGCAGTCCGGCGTTCAAGGCGGGATTAAGAGACGGGGACGGCGTTCTGCAGTTGAACAGAATCCCCACGGCTAACCTGACGCTGTCTGCGGCCAAGGCGGAGGTGGCTCGCACTGGGACCACCATTGATATCGCAGTGCAGAGGTAAGAGAGCGCGCGCTAAATGTGTACGCCTTCAGTGACGAACTAAAACAGCGCCGCTATGCGTTTGTTTTGAAAGGTTTCCATATGAGATCATTTGTGTTTGAAAGTTAAGCAAATCCTCCAAGTTGTTTTAATTTGTTTTTTATAACTATACTGTAAAGGTTAATCATATGTTATTATTTTTTGCCTCGGTATTTCAATCAATTTATATAAAAGGCATTGCGATTTTATGGATGGCCATTGTACTATTGTAAAACTTATTATAATGATAGTCATCACCATGAATAATAATAATTATAATGATAATCATTAAAATTCATAATAAACTAGTCACAAAAATATTTTGCAACTGCAGGGAAATGATCGACCCCAGGGCCACGGGTCTCTCCTCGGACGAGAGGGTCGAGATCGTAGAAGAACCCTGCGCCAAGTTTGGCGAGGGGCCGGACCCGACTCTCGCCAAGGTGACGCCAAAGACGTACAAGATTATTGAGGACACGGAGAAACAAGGTTTGCTATTGTTTAACGTTTACAATAGACATTATATTATTTATGTATTTATGTATAAAAATTATTGGAAAGGTCAAAATTTGCACTCAGAACAGTTCAGGAACTTACGATCTGTTAACCCATTTTTTAAACTCTTGCATTCTAATTTTTACCATCGCGAGTTTATCAATGGCGGATTCAGCGAGAAGCCGTCACGTGGCCCCTACTTGGTTTCGGGGTAAACCCTTTTTATCCATAAAAACTCTACAAAAACTCTGTGACAAAACCAGGAAATTTCTGCCATTATTTTGCCCAACATGGCACAGCAGATTTGTCCTCATCTTCTCATTAATGTTAATTCCCATCCTTGCTCCCCTGCCCCCCTTTCTCCCCTAGCTAAATATTGGATCCATATTTATCATTCCTAATTAACTGCACATATTTTTCTGTCAACCATTTGCGTACAGATCATTGATTGATTATTTTATGAGATGATCAATTTGTTCATATTCTTCTTCAGCTGCCGGCCCAGCACCATCTGTGTTTGCCAAAAGGAAAGCAGATCGGTCCAAGTACACTCAATGCAAAGGTACCACCATTCAGAAGGCATACGGAGAGTCATAATATAATGACTAGACAGAAAAAAAAAAAAACGACGAGAAACACTTAACAGCAAAAGATGAAAAAAAAACACTATGAAGACATAAACGATTGAAAATAGACCAAGCGTTGAAAAATTCACAGTTTTACTATCATGTTGAGGATTTTATTGGTGAACTTCAATACTCAAGGACGCCATCTTGATGTGATATACTGGTACTGTACTTGTAGTTTGACCTATCGTCTGCTCTTGCTCTGTGTAGGCTTCAGCAAACTACAGGGACTTCTATCTTCCGTATGACGTCATATGATGTATGACGTAAGCTGCCCAATCCTGAGGTCACAAGAGATAGCGGAAGATCTGCAGCTTGGTTCATCAAAGCTTGTCGCACTACTATTTGGGAAGGGTGCTGGGGGGGGGGGGTACGTTATAAGTTATAAAAGTAGCTATATCGTTGATGATGTGTTACATATTCTGATTTCAAAACAAAAATGTGCCNACTTTGAAGTTCCATGGGCCTGAAGACCTTTGCTCGTCGCATTTTCTGAATATCTGTGATACAAATATTTTATAATTATTTAAATATTGAGACTTTCATCATGTGAATTTGAACTCTCATGGTCCTGAAACTGTATTCTTATTGAAGGGGTACATTGAGACCATCTTCTGGGTCTTCCGGAAGACAGTCAAGTTATTAAGTTTATATTGACTGGTATCTATTTTTTTTTTCTGTTGGAAGACCTTCAAAATGGAGGATGGATCAAAATAGATACTTTGGAATACTGTCAAAATATCTCTTGGTCCGCTCCTGTTATTGACAATGTTACCTGTTGTGCATGATTAAAATTCAGTGTTGACTGACAGTGCTATTATAAGCATTATTTATTATTGCATCAAAATTGACAAAATTACCTTTTTTGCATCTTTATTTTCTGTTTTTTGTCTGTACATTTGACAGCTTTGCTGCCTTGTTTAAACTCTTGCATTCTAATTTTTACCATCGCGAGTTTATCAATGGCGGATTCAGCGAGAAGCCGTCACGTGGCCCCTACTTGGTTTCGGGGTAAACCCTTTTTATCCATAAAAACTCTACAAAAACTCTGTGACAAAACCAGGAAATTTCTGCCATTATTTTGCCCAACATGGCACAGCAGATTTGTCCTCATCTTCTCATTAATGTTAATTCCCATCCTTGCTCCCCTGCCCCCCTTTCTCCCCTAGCTAAATATTGGATCCATATTTATCATTCCTAATTAACTGCACATATTTTTCTGTCAACCATTTGCGTACAGATCATTGATTGATTATTTTATGAGATGATCAATTTGTTCATATTCTTCTTCAGCTGCCGGCCCAGCACCATCTGTGTTTGCCAAAAGGAAAGCAGATCGGTCCAAGTACACTCAATGCAAAGGTACCACCATTCAGAAGGCATACGGAGAGTCATAATATAATGACTAGACAGAAAAAAAAAAAAACGACGAGAAACACTTAACAGCAAAAGATGAAAAAAAAACACTATGAAGACATAAACGATTGAAAATAGACCAAGCGTTGAAAAATTCACAGTTTTACTATCATGTTGAGGATTTTATTGGTGAACTTCAATACTCAAGGACGCCATCTTGATGTGATATACTGGTACTGTACTTGTAGTTTGACCTATCGTCTGCTCTTGCTCTGTGTAGGCTTCAGCAAACTACAGGGACTTCTATCTTCCGTATGACGTCATATGATGTATGACGTAAGCTGCCCAATCCTGAGGTCACAAGAGATAGCGGAAGATCTGCAGCTTGGTTCATCAAAGCTTGTCGCACTACTATTTGGGAAGGGTGCTGGGGGGGGGGGGTACGTTATAAGTTATAAAAGTAGCTATATCGTTGATGATGTGTTACATATTCTGATTTCAAAACAAAAATGTGCCACACTTTGAGGTTCATTATATTTACCTATGGTGATGTTAAATTCAAAATCAAATATGTTAACTCGAATATGCACGGTTTACGACATACCGTCAGTACCACGATTTGACGCACTTTGTTCCTTTTAATGTTCGATTGTCATTTGTATTATTGTTCATTGAAATCATTAAAGACGTTCAACCTTTTTGGAAGAATAGTCATAATTTTTTTACCATTGCAGAAACAAATCGACTCTTCTCTTATACATGCAGTTTGGTAATTATGAAGTTGAATATTCTAAACAAAATTAACAAAGCTTTGACAATTGTCAAGAAAAAAGCAAATTGAGCCGATTGATTCACAAACTATTGCAAAAATATAGATCTATATTTTAAAGGTCTGTAATTGTTGGCCTCATATCCCTCTCTTTGCAAGTTTGAGAACCGTGACGTAGTTTGTTAAAAAAAGGCATACACTCTCGTGACAAACTTCCGCAAATTTTAATCGTCTGCCTGTTGCTCGCCTCGTTAAAGTCTTGTAAAATACAATATATCAAAATTTATAAATCTGCAAGACGCAAGGTAACAGAAACCTGGCATCTTGAAAAATGCTCTTTTTGTGAATATTGCGGCTGCAGTATTACAACCATTACATTTCCGTGACAACGAAAGTGAAAATAATAAATATCTTGTCTTCAAGATCGGGATTAGCTAAACGGACGAAAATGGATCTGACAACAACTCACTGCCTTTTCTCACGTGTAGAACCAAAGCTTGGATATTACGCACTTGAACCCCCGAAGCATTACAAATGGCCAGTCGTTAAACTTTGTTTTACTTCCCTTAATGTGTGTAAGTTTATGTGAACGCCTATATAAAACACATTATAATCATTGCATGGTTAGATGTGCATCCAAGGTGTTATAACTTGGCCATTAGTTATTTTTCCAATGGAACGGATTCCCCCAACTTAATATGAATACCAGGTGAAAAAAGCTGAAGATAGTTTCGGTACACTTTATAGAAAGAAAGTAATGACTGGTTACAGACCACAAAATATTTAATTATAGTGGAGTATTACCAATTCAAGTAGATGAAAATTCTGGTCTGACACTTCAGAATACGGCCCCAGACAAATTATTACTTCGGCAATATTTTTATTTATTTTTAACAAACACATATATACATATTACACCCGTCATATGTTTAAGATTATTTTGAATTGTAACGACAGTTTTTATTTTTACAAGATTTTCTTATAATGTTTATGGTCACCAACTCTGTTTTCCGATTTTTTTATCGTTACGTAACTCATTTATTGATATTGTATGGCGCCACGCTGTATGAAACACGAAAGGAGGCTTATAAAATTGAGAACAATGCGTTTTGTCTAAATCAGTTCGGGATAAGTATGTACTAATTCAAGAAACAGAAATCATTAGTGTACAAAACTATTCTTTTTCAATATATTGCATTCGAGTCTCTCGTTTTGTCTCGCCAGAATTCGTGAGCATTGTTTAGCTTGATGGGGCAAGTACTGTATATAGATTAAAATGTCTATAGAGATGTCGATCATCAAAGGTGAAGGTCCATATCCTAAACGAAGTTATAAATTAAAAGCAAAATGAGCGGGCTGAATTGCAAATTGTCACTAGAATTGTAAATAGGTTTGTTATTTAGAGATGTGCATTGACAATATTGTGAGAAAAGTCTATTGTTTGGAGAAGCTGCTGTGCAATGGTATTCTTCACGTCGTTTCCCCTTCTTTCCAAGTTTGAGAACGGTGGTATGGAGTAAGACGCATGCGCGATCAGCCCTTAATTGCGTAACAAGAACAGCACTGGGAGATGCAGACTTCCTTTACAACAAGTTCCCGAGAATAGTTGCATCGGAGAAGGACCTTCCTCTTAACGCATCTATCAGGTCTGCATATACCCTCCGATCCTTGAGCGTCCCAACAATTTCTGTAAAAAAGGAGGTTGATTGAAGAATTGGTAAAAAAGTTATTGGTTTCTTAAAAGTATGCGCTTTTACATGTACCTATTACGCACGGCTAGTATTCTTTTAAAACTACATGTATTTACCAATTCTACTTTTAGCCTCTTTACACTAGAAAAATGAAAAACTTATTTCATCGAATCTTCGAATTATTAAATTTGTACAAACGTGTCCAAACAGGCAGACAGTACAAACAAATAATTAAACTTTTTTTTTTTGCTCTTATCAGTTGCCAATCGATTGTATACGTGTCTTATAATATATACTTTTGTACCAAAATCTCAGAATGTGCGGTTATAAAAAATATTTTCTGAAATTCCTGGAATTTTTTTCTGTTTATTACCAAGGCTGCCCAAGCCCAGACTATTGAGGAAATCATCATCTATAAACTGCCTTCCACCCGCCACATTTTATTACAAAAATTCTTTCTGTTTTTTTTTTATTTTTATTTTTTAAATTTTTTTCAGTTTCTCATTTGATACCGCTATCGTGTTGTACACTGGTGAATTTCACTGGTAAAGGCCAGTACACAAATCAGTACTCGTGGGCAGTTTTGAATATCCTGCACCATGAAAAACGTATTGAAATCTCCAGCATTTTTATCTAGGTTTAAAGATCTATTAACGAGCATTGTATGCCTACATTGTAATGTAAGTTTACCTCTGACCGCAGTCCAGTCTAGGAAAGTGCCAAATGGAGGGACACATCACTTCACATCCGTCATATTCATACACCGGACTGTACCTCTCTGGGCATCTGTCTTCTCTGCAGTAGGGACTGTGATGTGGAAAATAGCATTGATGTTAGCATTACAAATGAAACACACGCACACACACACACACACACACACATAATTAAAAATGAATATATAAATAAATCAACACGAGACGTGTTCACGCATGTCTCCAGTTTGTTTATTTATTTATTTTTAATTGTGTAGGCCTATAAATGCTCCGCATAGTTGAGCTCTCTGGATACCACACGTACGATATATATATATTATTATTATTATTAAAGGGAAAAATATTCCATATTAAATATATATAGCTTCCAATTTTTTTCGATTCAAACTGCTTGCATTTATTGATTTATTATGTGTCGTAAATTAAATGTGTCGCCCTAATTCATTCATCGTATATCTTACAAATGTATGCACGTAAGACCATCAAGTGTCCCAGCAACGTGGTGCACGTCATAAAAATCTTGAACATTTTTCCCCAATGTTGAGTACTAAATATATGTATATGTCAGACATCTACTTACCACATAGGGTTAACTCCATACTTTATCAGCAGGTTACTGAAAAAAAATATATATCCATTTGTTATAATGACAACGCTATATGTAACAGTAATGGTGTGTCCATTATATTGATAACGATAAGTAATAAGGTAATCCTCTATACCTCACATGACTATCACGTGACCCTGTAATAAGACCGAGAGGGTTTTTAAATTAACATACATAGGAGAGGGATTTTAAATAAACCGAAAGCTAAAATTGACGAACAATTCGTTGAATATATATATATAGGGTGAATACATAGGCCCCTTTTGTTCACAAATAAGATTTCATTCATTTATCAAAATGGATCAATATTTACATTCAAGATAAACTGTGGAGATACATTTTCTCATCCTTCTTTCTGTCTTATCATTTATATTTCTTACTTATGCCCCCCTCCTCCTCCTCCTCCTCCTCATTATTATTATTATTATTATTATTATTATTATTATTATTATTATTATTATTGGTAATAGTTATTTACAGATAACTCACTAGCAGTCCTTGCTCAAGTCAATGTCTGGACACTGGGTATAACAGGCGACCACTGTCGCTAGTAGTACCACGAGCACAGAGAATGCCTGTGATAAATGGAAGGAAATGCTGGTCACAAATAAAAAATGACTGAATAAATAAATTAATTAATTAATTAATTAATAGATAGATAGATAGACTTCGAAAAGTGGATTTTGCAGTATTGCGACTTTCTTGCAATGCATAAACCCTCTACCAGGCTCAAAGATTGATTTTTCACATGATATTCACCTCCGCCAAGGAGGTTATGTTTTCACCCCTGTCTGTCTGTCTGTTTGTTTGTTTGTCATCAACATAGCTCAAAAAGTTATAGACCGATTTTGATGAAATTTTCAGGGTAGGTGGGAAATGGGTTAACTAAGAAGTGATTAGTTTTTGGTGGTGATCCGGATCAAAAATCAACCAATAGTCAATAATAATCAAAATTCGCTGCCTTGGCGGAGGTCTGCGCTCTAGGAGTGCTTTTCTAGTTACAATATATTTTCCCCTGGAAAAAATGCAAATTTGGCCCAATAAGGACACAGTTAATTTGTCGAGAAAGGTGAAGAATAATAGACAACGCTTTTAGATTCTTTGTGAAACACATTTTAGGCGGCTAGAGATCTTGACCATTTCGCGAAAAAGATCGGTTCCAGACTTGCGTCCTTCATTAAATTGGTCCTACTGCTCGGCAATGAGATTTTGTTTTCGGAGATTTTGGTGCTGAATAACTCATTTTGTTTTATTTAAACTGCCATCAAATTGTTACTATCCATCTAATAGGTGTTTAAAATCATTCCCACGCTCTATTTAATTCATCAATGGTTACCGATTCACTAAGTTACATCTGATCCTAATTTAAAGGGATAATAACTCTTCGTTTCGGCCCAAAAATGAATTTTCCTGGAGTAAACAACAATTTTCACATACTTACCAATGGTTAATGAATCCATTTTTACATTCAAAGTTAGTCCCTGGTCTTTTTCTAAAAAGTTTGGTTTTTTGTTAAAATCTCTTAAGAGATTTAAACAGAGTACAGCCATCAATGGAGGTCACGTGGTCTAAAGAGAAGCTCAGATATCAGAATAATAGCTATAATTGCCATTTTTGTGGTAAAACAGAATATATTATATTTCTATGAGTTATTCACAATGTTTTTATTGTGAAATTTAGATCTCATACGAAGAGTTATTATCCCTTTAACCTTCTTGTTTTACCTTTATTGATCATTATTATTGTTGTTGTTTCAGCAACATTGTTATGTTGTAATTTTTTTTTTTTTTTTTTTTTTTTTTTGTGAACTAATTAAGAATTTGCATCCCCAGAAAATAATTAATATTTTGTTCCTTACCTTCATCGTCAATATCGCTTGCTTCTTGAGTGGAGAAGATATTGCGTCTGTCGCAGCGGTTATATTATGAGCGGTGTTCTGATCACGGCGTTTATATAGCAACGCCGGGGAACCTAATCCAAGGACGCAACAGACCGATTTGCATTGCGTGACGGTTGACCGACCTGTCTGTTTCAATTATCAATGACTTATGAAGCTGTGAACTTAGTAACTTCGGACATTTGTGGCTTAATTTAACTTCACAGACGAAAACAAGTTGAGTGGAGATATTTCATGCACGTACCACAATCTGATCATTGCGAGAAGGGAGAGGGTGGCCGTGGCAGAGTTCACATTAGACATCTTGAGTTGGCATCTATATCGATTCAAATGCCATAGATGGGCCTTGTTGTCTGCATGCTACCATGTCTTGAAGAGAGANTCTTGAGTTGGCATCTATATCGATTCAAATGCCATAGATGGGCCTTGTTGTCTGCATGCTACCATGTTTTGAAGAGAGAGAGAGAGAGAGAGAATAAGGCTGTATTCCCAGAGCTTTTAGATCGATCTATCCCCGCGGGGAGTCTCACTAGATTACTGTCAGATAATCCGGCTTAAATGTCCGTCCCGCCTAATACAAGCTGTAAGGGGGTAATTAACTTTCGTGACAGCTATTTAGCGTGAACCCCTAGGGAGTTAGGTCGATCTAAAGTAGATCGATCTAATCTCTGGAAATGGGGTCTAAGAATCATATGGCATGCGCCTTAATGCTTTGGGTTAGAGGGGTGTGCATCCAAACCCATTGTAATTCAGACTTGTGTTATTTGTCAGGATGTCCAGTGGAGTTACTGGAGTTATCTTTGTTGAGTGTGAACGCGGCGAATTAGCTGACAATGTCACTTTAGATACGCTGTCCGTCGCGCATCAGCTGGCGTTTGCCGCTATCAGATTTCTGGGAACAGAAAAAGGAAATATATTGCTATTTATTTATTTAGCCTATTGTAAACAATCAAATTCGTTAGGTGTGAAAACCAGTTCATAGACACGGAGGAGATAGGAAAATGATGAGAGGAATTTCATTTTAATGAATGGTGCGGGTTTTATTTATTTATTTATTTATTTATTTATTTATTTATTTATTTATTTATTTCCACAGAAAGCAGAACATGGGGGTGAACCAAGGTACAAACTGGAGTACAAAACAGGAGCAAGAACACTGGGACAATTTTGGTTGATAAGCCGACTGGTGGAGAGAGAGAGAGAGAGAGAGAGAGAGAGAGAGAGAGAGAGAGAGAGAGCAGTGACCTGTGTATAATTTTAATGTAAATTATGTTCAAGAGGAGGAAATGTGACATCTTTATTGTAAACAACGAGAAGGAAGAGAACTGCTTCGTTAACATAAAATAATAATAAAATTCTAGTCAAGATTTTTTGAGAATCTGAAAATTATTCAACCGTGACTTATTCCAGTCTGTTTTCTCTCCAATTTTGACATCATTCCATAGTCATCTACTGTAAATTCGAAGAACCGATCTAAAATCTCGTGGTCTCTGTTTTTTCAAGATGGACTTTCCGCTAACAGACCGCAAACAGATTGTGTTTATATATTTATTCTTGCTGTTGCTGAAATTCATTTTTTTTTTTTTTTTTTTTTGTTAAAGCGACAACTTCTTGGCCTTTTTCACTCTATTTAAACGAATTTTGCTTGTTTTTGCGGGTTTTTTTATCATGCATATTTGAGGTATAGTTAAAAAAATCTTATTATCGCCTTATTTTCATTAAAACATATTCTTTTCCTTTAAGTATCAGACTGCGTTGATCACTGCGGTAACACGTTTGTAAGCTGTGCAAAAGAAAAGGAGGAAGGAAAAAGCGTTGAATAAACATCGCTCGGACGAGGGACAAGAGAGACAGAGACATCGCGCGATGCAACCGAGCCCTATTTTGACTGAATTTCAAGACGTTTAAGTTGAAAATATGCAAGTTTAATGGAATTGCAGGCTCAATTGAGGAAGAAGTGGTTTGTTTATGTACACACTATTTGAAGTCACAAAGGAAATGCTATGCTAATTTTACAGTATAAAATACCATCCCGTTATACCAGCTGTACCCTGTGGCTACACGCACTGCGTACCTGTCTTTGGGATCCCAACGAAACTATCTAGGGCGGATCCAGGATTATTTGAAGGGGGAGACGCAAAGCTGAAGGGACCCAATATTTTTTGTATTTTAGAGGACGAAAGGTGCCATTTGATACTGTTTAGAGTATGATTCAGCTAATCAAAATTTCAATTTCAAGAGGGGACCATTAGTGTCTTTTCTTTTTCAGAAATCGAAGGGGGGTCAAGAGGGTTGTCTTGATTTGCCTGTGAGGCATCTGTGAGGTTTCATTAAAAAAAAAACGTGAGGCATTATATAATCATTAATTTAATTAATTCACATTTTACCCTGGATAATGAATTCATTCATAAACTAAAATAAAGACAATTATAACAATTGTGAAGAAAAAGGACTTGACCCCGACGTGATTTGAACACGCAACCTTCTGATCTGGAGTCAGACGCGCTACCGTTGCGCCACGGAGTCCACGTACCCTATGCAGACAGGTGACCGCTGAAATTGCTGTGTATTTCCGTAACGTGTGATGAAACTGCACATCCATCATAATGCAGTGAGATCATTATCTACAGAATACAGGTAGACATTGAGAGAGTGACAAATTATATAGAATGGATAATCAGGTCCAAGCGCCTTTTGTTTGTCCACATCACACCACCTGTATCTTCGTTTTAATGAAGATACCCAAGGGTCCAATGAATGTTGCTTGTGCTTCTTAAATTACCACAGGAATTAAAATCATAAACGGTATTGTAAATGCAGATCAAGTGGGGAAGGGGGGGGGGATCATTAAATACAATTTGGATTTATCTATTAGGGGAGACCGGGGCTAGTTGGACAAAGGGGTAAGTTGGCCCTTTGTTAATTTTTGGAGAAGTACCTAAGAGATATAAAAAACTGATCACATACTGTAATTATGTACAGTGACCATATCCCTCAGAACCAAGAAAGCATCGATCGCTAAAATGGTTTTACTTGAACGGTCAGCCCAAATTAAAGAGCTCTGCATCTGAACATCTGCAACAAGGGGCACTTGGGCTTTTAGACCCTGTATTTTGTAATGATCTTTCGACACAAATTCAAAATATAAAGGAAACGGATCAAAACAGTATATATACCCCCCCACCCAGTATCTGCGTCATGTGGACTACAAATTCAGCAAAGACTCACAATCAATTGCAATTGAAATACATTCATGGCGTTTACATGGATTGCCACATTATCAACGTAATCCGGCATAGGGCAAAATGGCCAACCTGACAGCGTTTTTATTTTATTTTATTTTATTTTTTTGGTCAACTTATGAGTGATGTGGCATTACATTTTCAAAGCAATGACGCTAAATATGCACTGTGTAGATAAATCTTTGTCGCTCGTTCTAGAACCGAGTTTGTTGCTCTCGTTTTGATTTGGTTTCACAAGGCCAGGAGTATCTACCTGGGTCAAANGTGTCCGCCCGGCTGACAGCTATTTAGCGTGAACCCCTAGGGAGTTAGGTCGATCTAAAGTAGATCGATCTAATCTCTGGAAATGGGGTCTAAGAATCATATGGCATGCGCCTTAATGCTTTGGGTTAGAGGGGTGTGCATCCAAACCCATTGTAATTCAGACTTGTGTTATTTGTCAGGATGTCCAGTGGAGTTACTGGAGTTATCTTTGCTGAGTGTGAACGCGGCGAATTAGCTGACAATGTCACTTTAGATACGCTGTCCGTCGCGTATCAGCTGGCGTTTGTCGCTATCAGATTTCTGGGAACAGAAAAAGGAAATATATTGCTATTTATTTGTTAAGCGTATTGTAAACAATCTAACTCGTTAGATGTGAAAACCAGTTCATAGACACGGAGGAGATAGGAAAATGATGAGAGGAATTTCATTTTAATGAATGGTGCGGGTTTTTTTATTTATTTATTTATTTATTTATTTATTTATTTCCACAGAAAGCCGTACATGGGGGTGAACCAAGGTACAAACTGGAGTACAAAACAGTAGCAAGAACACTGGGACAATTTTGGTTGATAAGCTGGCTGGTGGAGAGAGAGAGAGAGAGAGAGAGAGAGAGAGAGAGAGAGAGAGAGAGAGAGAGAGAGAGAGAGAGAGCACTGACCTGTGTATAATTTTAATGTAAATTATGTTCAAGAGGAGGAAATGAGACATCTTTATTGTAAACAACGAGAAGGAAGAGAACTGCTTCGTTAACATAAAATAATAATAAAATTCTAGTCAAGAATTTTGAGAATCTGAAAATTATTCAACCGTGACTTATTCCAGTCTGTTTTCTCTCCAATTTTGACATCATTCCGCCTAATTGTAGTCATCTACTGTAAATTCGAAGAACCGATCTAAAATCTCGTGGTCTCTGTTTTTTCAAGATAGACTTTCCGCTAACAGACCGCAAACAGATTGTGTTTATATATTTATTTTTGCTGTTGCTGAAATTCG